AACTCTGCCTTCAGCTCCTGGCTTCAAATTTCTCCCCTCTCCAGGGTGGCTGCTCCAGAACAGTGATCTGGCTACAGAGCTGCACCTGGAGCCCTGGGAGCTGTTTCTGAGATGGCTTGTCCCCTGTGTGCCTAAAGATGATGTAGATTTGGCATTGCTGCTGGAAGGGGTTTGATCCCAAAATGCCTGCTGCTGCTTTCTGATCTGCTCTTGGAATCTCAGTGATTTAAACATTTCTGGTTTTTTATCTTTTTAGTTGGCTAACACACCCCAAATGAACATGGCATCTTTTGATAAGTCCATATGATACCACTTTTCCTCAGTACCACTGATCCTGGCAGGACTGTCCAGAACTCTGGGATCAGCTGTATTTGCAGTTGGGTCTGTTGAGGTGACAGTGGGTGGGAAGACCTGGCAGGGTGCAGGGACCCTCTGAGCCCCAGGAGTTGCCATGTGAGGTAAAACTTGTGCTCCAACCAGACCTGGGGCCCTTTTTGTACCCAGCTTGATTGCTCTGCCGGGATTTTGGAGGGGAATACAGCTGGGTCAGCACTCCTGAGGTTTTTCCCAGCTGGAATTGTCTTGACAGGACTCAGGGAGCAGGTGCCACCCCATGTTTGAGGAGAGCTTTGTCCCTTTCTGGGTGTCACCCCTACCCCTGTGTCACTACCCAGGTAGGACAACCCAGGGGGGGTTCAGACTGGACCCTGTTGCTTTCTGAACTCCTCAGAGAGGAGTCTTGGTGTGGCTGGATCCAACCTTAGGCTCAGATCTGGCCCTCCCAGGGGGAGAGGTTAAAATATTACAGTCCAATGAAATGCTCGACCATCCAATACCCTTTGATTGGACTAAGGTGAAACATCATCCAAGGTCTGTATTTCAATATTAGCTTTAATTAAAGCTCTGTAAGGAATATTGATACTGCAATTATCATCTCAGGCTGCACGATCAGAAAGGCTGATGAATTAGCTCACAGAATTCACAATACAGATGTTCAAGCTGCACTGCCTGAGGAAAAAATTGTGGTGGGACCTTGTGTTGCTCCTAAATGATTTTAGGAAGGAGAAGAGGGAAGAGAGAACAGGAGAGGAAAAGTAAGAGATGACAGAGAATCCCTAGTCCTGGACCCAGTGCTGGACCAGCCAGTGGGGGAATGTTGGTGTCAAAGCCCCTACCACAGCTCCTCTTGTTACTGACCTCTTTCACTTGGGCAGTGGTTTCACAAGGGTGAGTGAGTGTGGTTGAGACAGATCCCCATGGAGTGGACCTCTGCTTCTTCCACCCTCAGCTCCATGTGCAGCCCATCAGGTGATACTCTCCTCTGTGTGCTGGGCTTTCAGCCAGGGACCTGGAGCTGAGTGACTGGAGACCCTGGAGTCTTAATTAGCACTGTTAACAGACTGCAGATCTCAAGTCCCTTCTCAGGGGTCTCCTTTCACAGAATCACCAAGGCTGGAAAAGACCTTTAAGATCATCAAGTCCAGCCCATGACCTAACACCACATCAGCCAGACCATGGCACTAAGTGCCACCTCCAGCCTTTCCTTGAACATATCCGGGGGGGGGACTCCACCACTTCCCTGGGCAGTCCATTCCAATGTCTCATCACCCTCTCCATGAGGACTTGCTTCCTAATACCCAACCTAAACCTCCCCTGGTGCAGCTTCAGGCCGGGCCCTCTTGTCTGGGAGAAGATCCCAGACCCCACCTGACCACAACCTCCCCTCAGGTAGTTGGGGAGAGTGAGAAGGGTCCCCCCCAAATCTCCTCCAGGCTGAACAACCCCAGCTCCCTCAGCCTCTTCCTGGAAGCCCCTTTCCCTTCCTCAGGAGCAGGTCAGGCTGCTGTTCCTAACCCCCCTGTTCTGTGCTCCTCCCCTTCCCACAGATACTGCGAGAGCCGGCGAAGGGTTTTGTTGCAGCACGTGCATGAAGGCTACGAGAAGGACCTGTGGGAGTACATCGAGGACTGAGGGTGCTGGCCCTGCAGAAACGAACTCTGAAAAACCCTTTTTCCCATCTAGAGTGCTGATGCGATTCCCTAC